TGGCCTTTGAAGCCTGTGGTTAGGGCAGGGAGAGGGGTGCATGCTCTTAGGGTGTTTCCTTTTTTAGGCCATTAGGCTTACCTTGAATAAAGACTGCACTTGATGGCCCCAATTTTCTAGCCACAGAAGTGACACTGAGGATGGTCATGTCCGAACGTTGGTCTGTCTAGTTGCATGAATGCAACTATTTACAGCAAACTGCGCAAGCCGCTGTAATTCAGGGATTCACACTACCGTGTGATGGCAGAGTGGATAGTTGGCCCGGCCTAGATTGTTGTCATATATGGTCTGTAGAATATCACCTTCCAGTGTATTCATCTTTGGAATCGAGGCAGAATCTCATTTCACCCTAAAGTGGCTGATGTTTTAGAAAATTTTTGGTCTTTTACTTAAGAAAGAAAACTGTCTTGCTGTTAGAGCTAGTCATAAAACATAAGAAGAGAATGTGGAAAATACAGATATGTAACCTACTTAGCTTTCAACACAAAACCATGTATCTTGACAACCTCCCTTTCCACTTACTACATCCTTTAAAAACGTATTATGTCTTCAGTTAATAGATTTAAACATGTGCTGAGCACCCTTGTGTGCGCTTCATCTTTTTTCTCCAGGTTACAATGAAGATCATAGCGATGTCACCTGCTGGCTTCTGGCAAAGCAGGAGAAATCGATACGACCTCCTGGTGACGTCCCTGGGTGTCGTGTGGGTGGTGCTTCACTTTGCGCTCTTGGTAAGCACACAGAGAAACTCCCTTCCAGTCGGTTACCCCCGTCCTGCATCCAGTCTCCAATCCCCCGTGTCAGCCATGGTCCCATGTTACAGTAAGCTCTGCAAAGACCCCTGGAATCGTGGCCAGCCTTCTGCCACCCTTGTGTGTGCCCCTATCCACACTCTGCACGTAGCTGAACCCTGGCCTTTCAAGTCCTAGTGTGTGTAAGCCACAAGGAAGAACTTGCGATTCTCATTTAACCTTTCGTTTTACCAGAGCTTACAAGAGTGAGCAAGGAAAATTGAATCAGAGATTAGGAAGCCTGTGTAATTCTGATACAAGCTGGCATCGGAAGGTTCACACCCTGATTTCTGAGCTGGAATGTAGCATCTTTCCTCCTCTATGATACTCATTATTATTTGCTCTGTGATTCCTGGTTACTTCCACCACCTGATTCTCTCCCAGACATTTACCTGCCATTTCTCTGAAGCACACCATTCCCATCTCTGTACCTATATTCTACTATTACTAAAAAGCCTTCACAGTTCATTCTAGACTGAAGTCCAGTTCCAAATCTACAACAGTGTGTACACTTGACTACTACTACCTAGGGTGGTGCTGTGCAAAAAAACAAAATATGTTTACTTTTGAATTTTTAGAAGAAATTTACATATTCAAATAATGGAACTTAACCAAAAAAAGGGGATACAGATGAATGTCCATTTTGTATCTGTGTATTCAAAGTGGCTAGGATAGATATATAGTTACATTCTCTTAGTGAATAGAGGGATTTGTTCTAATAGTGTTTGTAAATAGAATATCATGTCCGCATCTTGTACAGCAATTAACCACTGGGAAGAATGTATGCAATGTGTTAATTATTGAAACTGCCCTACCAATTTGATTTGAAACTGTCTCATTGCTATTTGTTTCTCAATAAAATTATGAAAAAAATAACATACCACAATTAAAGCATTGAAAAAAAGGAATTTAAAAAGAAATAAATAACAATACATTAATATATCTTCTAACCTACCCACATACAAAATACTGTCATTTAACATGTAAGCTATAAAAAGTGTTAATTAATTTTTTTCTTTTGGTATGGAGTCTTTGTGGAATTTACTTTTACAGTGCTCGTGCAAATTTAGATTGGCTGCCTTTCCAGTGTTCAGAAGCCCTGTGTGATTGGTGGCTTATGTATTGCAGCCTTGGAAATATGGGTCTTAGTCTCGACTTGCCATTGTCCAGCCATGATCAATTCCATGATCAATTTGTTTGTCTTTAGTAATCCTTTATCCCTTGCTTGGACCCAGGAAATATAACTTCATAATCCACCTATTCTACAGAGGCATTCTAGGAAGTCTTATGAAGTTATGTATGTAAAGCTCCTAAAGATTATAACCAACTCTAGGCATTATCAAAAATACCTTTGTTTTTATTAATCTTAGTTTTCCCCATTTTCCCATCTTCTTCAGTCTTAGATGGATAAACATCTATAACATAGAATCCACTTAAATTCATCAAAAAGAGCTTGCTCTAGTATAAAATTGTCATGCTAGTGAGCACATTGAATGCTCTTTTTAAAGCAGCTATTGTGCTTAACATCAGAGGCTATCTGAGCTTTTAGTCACTTGCATTTATTTTTTTAAAAGATATATTTGAGCACAAATTTATGTAAGCCACTATTGGAGGGCTGAGGAGAATGAAAAGAGCAAAGCAAAACAGTCACTGCTCCTGTAAGCCTTACACCTTGCAAAACTGAACAGACATCCCCTGCGTGCTGACCCATCAGTGAGAATAATGCTAACATGGGTCTGCTTAAGACCTTGTGTCCAGGTGAAAACTCATCAGCTCACCGTCCTAGAAGCTGTTGATTGTCATTACCATCAGAATGCAAAAGGAGAAGGTATGCACCATAGATCCTTAGCTGACTGAGGAAAAATAGACACCAAAGTCCAGGCTTTTATTTGTCTAAACAAGTATTTAGCTAAAAACTATTCCATCTAAGCAGAAAAACGAAGTAGGCTTCCTACTACCAGATGTCTCTAGATAGCAAGAACCTGAGCCCCCAAAACTAATGTATCTTCTCTGCTTGACTCTTTCTGTTCTTCCCAATAAGTCTGATCTTGAAAGGGTGTTTATCCATGGTCCTATTTTGCAGTGGGCCACTGGGAATGCTGGGCAGGAAAGTGCAGACTGTCTTCCCTCCAAGATGCTATGCGCATGCATTCCTTCACTCATGCCTCACCAGAGATCGCACAGGACCCCTTCCCAGGGGCCCATCTGTGACTGTTCTCATTTGGCTGGGAGAATAGTCATGCTTTGGCATCAGCTGAATGTCAAAGTTGTTATTGCAGTTGTAGCCGGTGAGATCTTTGTTTCTCAGAGGGAGCCTTCCTAGTCATAAAGCATAGAGTCATCTTTTGCCTTAATTACACATTTGAAGAAAGAAATGGATATGTTCCTGAGCAGAGGGAACTCTTCTGAAATCAACGTAGATGATGGGACCTGTGGCTGGCCTTCAGAAAGGAGTCTGCCTTCACCAAGCTACTTCAACCTGAGCCCTGCTTTGGGGCCAGGAGTCCTAATTTTTTTCTCTCATCTATCTTCCTCATGTCCCATAATCATCCTGTCACACACTGTCCTGAGAGGAACTAGCCAATGTGTTATGTGAAATAAATTTTGAAGTGCAGAATTCAGTTAAGCAACACAGAACCTGGAGTTTCATTTGAGATTTGATTCTGTAGCTAATATTTATTCATGAGTTTTGGCAGTGACCTTTTCAGCACTTTTTTTTTTAAAGATACATTTCTTATAAGAATTTTCACATTTTATTAAGCTAATTATTCAGTAGGCTTCACAGCAGACTTAAAATGAAAACTAGAATTTTAACGGGATCTTTTGTGCAAGCGATGAGAGGCTGTCTTGTTTGCGTTTCAGAATGCGTACACCTACATGATGGGCGCGTGCGTGATCGTCTTCAGGTTTTTCTCCATCTGCGGAAAGCATGTGAGTATGTGTGAAGAATCCTAACAAAGGTCACCTGGGAAGGCGCAGTGGCCGATGGACTTCAGCTGTCTTGAGTGCTTAGCGTTGTAGCCCGCAAATCATTAAATGATGGATGCACCTTGAGACCAATAATGCTAAGCGAAATAAATCAGATACCCAAGCTTAAATATCACACAAGTTCTCTACATGAGATAAGCAAAGTATAGATAAAGAGCAAAATAGAAGACAGCAACAGGAGATAGGTGACATAAAATAAAGACTAAAATATTAAATATTAAAACAAATTGAGAGCTTGTCTTGTGATTTTCCTATTGTTGCTGCTTAATTTGTTCTTTGTATTTGCAAAGTAAGCAATCATCCATCAAAGGTAACATATCAGCCATGAAAATAAAAACGAATGATCATACCAGATGTACTTTTACTTATATTGTTTTTATATTTACTAAAGGTAACTTTAGTGCAAAGAAAAGTAATATTTAATGAACAATGATGGTTCCATGGTTCTAGATTGGTATATATTCTTTGTTCATGGTCATGCATTTGTTCTACCACCAGTTTGCATTTTTAGAGACACCATATCCTTTTTGTTAATAATATTCTTTGATAAATATACTCCCTATATTCACATAGTCATCAGTGCATTTACTGTTTTATGGTTATTTGGCATCATGCAATTAGTTAAATTTGTTTTTTGTGAAAGTAAATTCGTATATTTGCTATAAATCAAAACTGCCCTTTACAGAGAACTAGAAATAAGAGAAAATGGCAAGCTAAAACCATGGAGTACTACTTTTATTGATGTGGCTTAAAATACTGAACAATTCGAAGAATGAATAGAATTTTTCAGTGTCTGATAGTTTTAGAACAATACTTACATTGAACACATAGTATAAAGCAACTCTTAAGTGATGAATTCTTGAGAACCAGTCTCTAGCCAGTCTGCTTGAGTGATACTACCAGACCATCCATGGCTTGGTAAACTGGTCCTTCTCTCCCTCTCTCTATCTCTCCCTGACGCCATATCGTCCTTGTCTCCAGGTGACGCTGAAGATGCTCCTCCTCACGGTGGTCGTGAGCATGTACAAAAGCTTCTTCATCATAGTCGGGATGTTCCTTCTGCTATTGTGCTATGCTTTTGCTGGCGTTGTTTTATTTGGAACTGTGAAGTATGGCGAGAACATAAACAGGTTGTGCATACTGATCTTTCTGTTCATTTATCATTACTAAACATTTTAGTAATAAAATGAGGAAAAACTTAATTTTTTTGTCTATAAAAGACTGGGGGAGAAGGGAAGGCAAAGAATCATTTGGAATTTAAAATGAAATAAAGTGCCCACATTTTAAATGGCATTTTTCCAATTGAAATAGTTATGCATGGTTACTTTAGGAACCCCAGAAAATTCAGAAATAAAGAAAACAAAAAGAATCCATAATTCTACCAACACTTGGGAGTAATTAATCCTAATTCCATCACTGTTCCTGGCCATTTATTACCCCCCAAAAATGCTGTACTTTTTCTCAATAAAATAATTTTGAAATGCCTTTTTCTTTTCAGCAAAATACGGAAAGTGCACTCAAAAGGGTGTTAGTATACAGAAAGGACTTTTCAAACATTGCCTTGACTTTTATGGGAGCATTTCACTTTTTAAGCATATTAAAACAACAAAGCCACAAATGTCCCATATTAAAGAAAGTATTTGTTATTTATTACATCACCACATAGTGGATCTCCTTTCATAGCTTAGACCACATAAAGGAATAAATCACTTTTTGTCGCCAAAACTTGCTCAGAATAAATGGTGATCAGTTGAAGGCCAAGCTTGAAGTGACTTATTCAGGCAGCTATATTTGCAGACAAATAAATAAACGAATTTTGGAAATGATAATGTAGCAAGCAAAATATCTGCAAAATCCCTGTTTTGATGATGACGAACAATGCTACCTCACAACAAACCATACTACTCACACTTTTTTTCTTAAATTAGGCATGCAAATTTTTCTTCAGCTGGCAAGGCTATTACCGTACTGTTCCGAATTGTCACAGGTGAAGACTGGAACAAGATTATGCACGATTGCATGGTAAATATCCCTCTATCAGTGCCTCAGCTTAGAATCAGCATGAAATTCTTTGGCAGTGCTATATGGTGGTGTCGTTCTTGTCAGCATCAAGACTTCGTGTACAAAGTATATCTCCAGGCCTTTAAGGCTAAAAATTGCACCTTTTTCATTACAATGTATTAATCATCATAAGAAAATATTCATTGACCCAACTGGAGCTATTGTCTTGGTCAACAAATAGGCTTCATATGAGCATTGTCCGTTCTCTTCAACCTTTATCGTTGTGACAGTTCAACAGCAGTACTCGCCTTCAATGTAACGCACTCACTAGATATTCACCAAGCCTGTGGCCAGCCCTGAGCCATCAGCTCAGTGCTCATTTTCAAGTTGAAGGTGTCCTCTGGGAGCTGATCCCCAGGGGTGCAAGCCACTCTTCCTCTGTTCCTATCTCCTCCAGGATAATTCTGCATCATCCTTCTAATCTCAGTTTAAGTATCAGTTCCTTCTGCAATTTCACTCCCCCCTAAGACTGCAGGTTATGTGTTCTTACAGTACTCTATGTTTCTCCCTGGTGGTCCCTCCCACAACTCCAGTGAATTACCAGCTTAAATTCCTTTGTTCCACCTGCCTCTTCCCTTCCTCTCTGATGCTGTCTTGTAGAAATTTCTGCAGTGGTGGAATCCTAAGCTATTCAATTCAGGAACCATTAGCCAGATGTGACTGTTTAGCATTCGAGGAACTAAATCTTACATCAAGTTTATTTTTATTTCATGCTAATTAATATGAATTTAAATTAAAATTGCCACATGGGCCTCTGGTGTACTGTGCAATATCAGCAGCATCAGAGGGGCAGGCTTCTGTCGCTCTTAGCAGTCTATTCCAAACACGGGGCACAGGCCTAGCACACCGGAAGAACTACACAACTTTATGCACCAGACAAAATGTACCAAATCAAATATAACCCAAGGCAGAATTAAATATAGTCTAAGTAAAAGTAACAGCAGAATGCTGTGGGAATGCAGGTGAAAGAGCTGCTCTCTGGCTGGAAGGAGCCAGGACTTTCTCTTCGAGGTGTTGGCATTTTAATGGGCCCCTGGAGAATGATACCTGGAGTCTTGTGCCGCTCCATAGCATCCCATAGTGCTACTCCAAGAGTGGGAACTACTTGTAACACAATTTAAATGTGAATTTGCTATGCAAAGTTAACCTTCCTAAATCATTACCCGTGTCTTAATTCCGAACAACTTTAAGTGCCTTTTTACTTTACTTTCTGTAATTTTATCAGGGTAGCTACTTAGGACTTGGAGCTGGCAGAAGTGGCAGGAAGCATAGTTATTGGAAGAAACCTGTCCATTTTCATGGTGCATGAAATTGCCTCTAACAATTACAAAGAACTTGGAATTCTATAATGTCAAAAACACAGCACAAAGGAAATATTGGTTTTGATTTATTCTTCAGATGACTCACCCAGTGTACATGGTATTTGCCAGATAACTTTGAAGTTAATAATAGCTTATATGGCTAGGAATGTGTTCACTAACTACAGACAGAGAATTTGTTTTCTTCTCTTACCCTGTCCTCCCCTCTTTCTCACCACCGCCTAGGTTCAGCCTCCATTCTGTACTCCAGATGAATTTACATACTGGGCCACAGACTGCGGAAATTATGCAGGAGCACTTATGTACTTCTGTTCATTTTATGTCATCATTGCCTACATCATGCTAAATCTGCTCGTAGGTAAGTGATGTTCATTGAATATTTTTTCATTTCTTCAATCTCAGGTACTTAGATAATTATGTTCAATTTTCAAGTAATTATCCTGGATTGCTTGGGGTGGGTGTTTCATGGCCTTAATTATAAATTATTACCTCTCAATGCAGAAGTTGGAAAGACCTTTAAAAGGCATGTAAATGACAGTTGATTGCAATTTCAAGAGTTTTGCTATTTATTATGATCATTAATTTCAAAAGAGCTCTTCTCATAGATTGCATTGAATGAACTTCAAGGAGGGCTACCTTGGTAGCTTCAAAATATCACATTTTTTGTTTTTCAAAGATACATGTAGTTAACCCAGTTATGGGACTACCCAGAACCAAATACAACCTTTAAAAACTGCCCTGGAACTCTTAACTAATAGTTCCAGCCAGCTGGCACCAATGTCTACACACACACAGAATGTGTGTTTGTGCGCATGACCCTCATGCTTTGGAGAGATGAGAGCTAGATGGAGAGCTTAGTCCAAGTGTGAAATGTGCCAACTTGGAAACCATGCTAAAAGCACTTGAAAAATTTGGCTTTCTAGCATGGCTGATAAAATCCATTATTTATAATAGATGTTTTACTTTTTCTAAGAAAAATGACAGCTTAACCTAATTGCCTAACTTCTGAATTTTTCTTCTGCTTCTTTTTTAGCCATAATTGTGGAGAATTTCTCTTTGTTTTATTCCACGGAAGAGGATCAGCTTTTAAGTTACAATGACCTTCGTCACTTTCAAATCATATGGAATATGGTGGACGATAAGAGAGAGGTAGAGGTCATTGTTTCATGCTCAACCCCAGAAAAAAACTACAGACAAATCTCAGAGGGTTCAGTGCTCTCATGGGTGGCAAGTCACATAAGTTGACTTTGAAAGGCCATGAAGAAAGATGCCATTGATACTTTAGGAGGCAAGGGGAACACAACAGGTCCTCCCCGTGACCTTTCCACCAGGAACCTCCTCTTCAGACTTCTGAGAGGTCAGTAAGGATAGAAAGCTGAGGAATCCTGAAGGAATGGGCTCTGGGCTCAGAGCAGGGACTGAAGCCGCCAAACGGACAGTGTGCTGTGGCTTCGTGATCACTTCAGTCTCCAGCAGCCATCCTGATGACAAACACAGACGGGTATCTAAGTAGTCTCTGGGAGTGCTCGTCCAAACTGCCTCTGTGTTATTACATGAATATTTTGATCACAAAGATTACCCAAGATTTCAGAATCAACCGCACCAGCAGCAGCCTCTCTCCTTTGTTTCCCCCTCCCCTTCACCTCCTTTTCCTTCTCCTCCTCTTTCTCCCCCACCTCGTACTCTTCTTTGTCTTCTTCTTCCTCCTTGTCCTTATCCTCTTTCCATTCTTCATACTGGAAAGCACTCAAGCTCAGGTCGAGGGACTTAAAGATAGACAAAGAAACAGGATGAAAAGAGCTTGCATTTTAATGGGGGGGGACAAAGAATTATAGGTAAAATAATATTACTAGTAACAGTGCAGGCTGAACCTGTGTAATCCAAGCATCTGAAATGCTTCAAAATTTAAAACTTTCTGAGCACCAACATGACACCATGAGTAGTCAGTTCCACACCTGGCCTTATGTAGTGAGTTGCAGTCAAAACATGAGTTTGCATCTCCAAACTAATAGTGTGTAACTTTACCTTCAGGCCACATGTATGAAACATAAATGAATTTCATGTTTAGACCTGGGTTCTACAACCCATACATTTCATTATTTCCCTTGTATATGCAATTATATCTGGAAAAATACCCAGATTTTAAAACACTTCTGGAGCCTGGCATGTCAGTAAGGGACACTCAGTCTGTATTATTTTAAGAGGTTGTGAGCACCCAGGTGAAGGTCAAGTGACAGACCAGAGTTGGAGCACAGTCAAGCTTTAGCAGGATGGTAGTGGGGCCTCCACTGAGGAGGCATTTGGCTTTGCATCTAAAAAGCGAAGAAAATTCAACCATGAAAAAGTCTAGGCAAGATCCAAAAGCAGTTTTAAGAACTGCTGATGTCCAACAAAGATTGGCAAGCCCAGGCAGGCATCAGGGTTCCTGGAGTTGAACCGGGGCCATCAGCAGCTCGCAGCCTTCTCTTTTCTCTCCATCTTCTTGGTAGCCTTCTGTGGTAGGGACCCAGTCTATCACCAGTTTCTTCTGAGATGGTAATCTGTGCCCAGGCACCTAGTCTAGCTCTCTCATCTGGGTCACTCCTGTGTCAACTGTCACCAGCAAGGCCTTGTGCTCCTCAGATACACACAGGGAAGACCACACCCTCAGTGTCCAGGAGTGCTAGGGACCGACAGGAAGCCAGGGGTCACCAGGCATATCCAAAAAACCTAGCCAGGGCTGGTGTGGTCAGCTGTGTTGCCTGCAGTTTATAGCTACGTGGGCCCGGAAGGAAGGCAGAGTTGAGAACCTCACTGTCACATCTACCAGTGTTCTAGTCATGCAGAGGAACGAAAGGAAGCAACCTCTCCATGGAGCCCAAGTTACAATGCATGTGTCTCAGTTACTTCCCTCATCGCTGGGACAAAATACCTAACACCCACAATTTAATGGGAGACGTCGCCCATAGTGAGCTGGCTCCACGGCAGAGTGGCATGGCAGATGGACATGGCAGAAGAGAAATTGTTCAGGGCATGGAAGACAGGAAGCAGAGCGTTAAGGGAGGAGCCAGGAGGGAGACTGCCCCCTCCAGGCCACACCCCCAGTGACCTGTCTCTTAACCTCCTAACAGCCAGTCAGCTCTAAGCCCTGTAGGTGAATCACCTTTCCAAAAGCCTGACCTATGAAAACACAAGGCTCTCAGAAGACATCTAGCTATAAACTGCGACAGGTTTGCAAGTCTTAGCATCCAGGTCACGCACGCGTGCGCTGGCCGTGCCTGTGCGCAAGCATTCTCAGCACGCAGTAAGTGCACGTAGGAAGGAACCGAGTCTCAGGATGGTGTTTTGAGTAGCGTCAGCTCCAGGAGAAGCTGAGGGCTCTTGCTGGGCTGCCTGGCTGCAAAGAGCTCTGTGTCACGATGTTCCATACACAGGAGAAGCTCGAGCCAACTCGGCTGCTCCCAGCACAGGTAACTGTGCCCGTGACCAAAGACGCCCACCCTGGGCATGCCGTGCAGGCCTTGCCCCCGGGGCACGCTGAGACTGTGATCGAGGCTGGGCATGGTAGCGAGCACCTGTAATGCCAGCGCTTGGCAAGTTGAAAACAGGAGGATCACTACGAGTCTGATCTGTGTAGTGGGACCCTGTAGACCCTGTACTAAATACATTTTTAAAAAGAGGCCAACAGCAACTTTCTTCTCCACGGGTGCTAGTTGTGCTATCTTTGGAGAAATAGCTCCTGTTTCAAGTGTTGCCCTGTCTTCATTTTATGCCATGAAGAGTCCCCCCCCACCTCCGGCCGATTCCAAGCGAACCTCCAGAAGGTCTAACCCGGGCTTGCTCTGCCCCCAGGGCGTGATTCCCACCTTCCGCGTGAAGTTCCTGCTGAGGCTGCTGCGAGGGCGGCTGGAGGTGGACCTGGACAAGGACAAGCTCCTGTTCAAGCATATGTGCTACGAGATGGAGAGGCTGCACAATGGCGGCGATGTCACTTTCCACGACGTCCTGAGGTAGGAGGCGTTTCACAGTCCGGGGGCCAATGCCAGGTGGGGTCCAGAGAGGAAAGCTGGGATTCTCAGAGGCCTTGGGAATTTAATGAAGGAGTCTGTCCAGAACCTACAACGCCACCGTTCTGTAGTTGTACAGTGAAACTACACTTTCCATGCGTGAAGTGATTTTTCTCACTGTTACCTGGAGATCACTTACGGTGAGGCATATGAAGCAGTGGCCTGACATCCAGGAAGGGGACAGCAGCAGGGGCCTGAGAAGCACAGTTCTGCCTTTTCACTTTGGGATGAGGGGGACTGTCCTGTGTGAGTGAAGCCACTTGCTCATGGTCACCTGTGGCAGAGGTGGGGCTGACCACAGTGCTCTCCCTCAGACACATCTGGAAGCTTCTGCAGGCCCACTCGGGGATGGCTGCCTGCTCAGTTACACCACCACCACTTCCAGATTGTCGTGAACACTCAACATGCAACAGAGTGGGACCAGAGCTCTGCCTTTCCTTCTCTCTGAGATCTCTGCAGTAGTAGCCCCCAGGGCTACTGTGACAAAGTGTCATCAACTGAGTGGCTTAAGCAACAGAAACTGACTAGCTCATGGACCCTAAGGCTCAAGGCTGAGGTGTTGGCAGTGTTGGTTGCTTGAGAGGTTGGGGTGTGGAGGGGTCTCTCCCGTGCCTTTCCTCAGCTCTTAGAGACTTCCTGCCAGTGTTTATCTAGTAGAAGCAGCACCTGAGCTCCCCTCAGTGTGAATACAGTGTTTTCCACGTGTATCTCTCTGTGTGTACACATGTGTGACCAAGTTCCTCCCTTTACAAAGATACCATTCACTCTGGACGAGGGCCCCACATGCTCTGGTATTGCCTTCTCCAAGCTAGGGACATCTGAAATGTTTTCTTTGCAAATAAGATGGAATCAAGAGATTCTAAGAGTTATGATCCCAGTATACCTATTTTGAGGGGAAAACATTTGGCTCATAACAGATTCTTGAACAGGAGCGTCCGGATTAAGCCTATGGCTTGCAAAGGGAAACAATTACACTCTTTATTCTCAATAATTGTTACTGGAAGTGCAATATTTTCTCAAATGATGAAGTTAGTCAACAAGGAACAATAACAATAACAATGTCTTTAACTGGCCACTAATAAAAATCATAGAGACTTTTAAATCATGTCCCTGCCTGCCTTGAGTGGCATCTTAAAGTATCATTCTTGTTCACCAGCACTTTAAGTATTTGACATCACTTAACCTCAACTAGATGTTATTGTCTAATGAAATGATAAAGAAGCACTGGGATGGGAGAGATAGCTCGGCATTCTAAACACCTGCCTGGTAAGCACAAGGACTGGACTTCAATCCCCAGTACCACATGCCATGCTGGTCCAGGAATCCTGGGCCACGCCAGCCACAGAAACAGTATGGTGGCCCAGACCTGTAAGCCTAGCCCTGGGAAGACCAAGACAGGAGGATCACTAAGAGACCTAGCTGTGTACTGAGAACCTATGCCAAATAAATAATAAATGAAAGATTTTTTAAAATAATAAAATAAAGAAGCATTTATATTACTATATCAACACTTTCGTACAGAAAATAATTTGAGAATTATGTTTCAGCATAATGGATTGACTTTTTAATAATGCATATTTCATTATATGCAGCTAAAATATTATTCTCAGAAATGTCCCCCTTGCCAGAGGAATCTGTGCCATGAAAAAGTTACAGGAACTTTTAAAAGAGAAAGTTAAAAAGAAGCTATAACTCTCAGTAGCTACTGTGATCATGTTGCAAGCGCCTGACAAGTGTTGGATGCTCTGTCACAAATTGTGGGAGAATTCAGGTATTCAGAAATATCATTGTGGCTAGAAGATGAAAAGAGATCAGATCAAAATAGAAAGGAACTGGAAAAAGTTCTCTGAAATTATCTATTTCACCTTCCATGATTCATTTCTTCCACAGGCAAGCCAAAAAGCAGAAAAAGGTAGGGTGGAAAACACAGGTGAATAACAGAGGACACCATCTCTCTCAGAATGTCAGTCTTTCCTGTGCATGCTAAGTGTTTAGACTGAATATGTGGTGCGTCTACATGCTGTTGTCATTAACACTGAGCCTTCAAATCTTTTGGGGGGCAGAGATGCATGAAGCAGGTATGCTGCAAAAATAAAGGGAATATTTAAGTTTTTAGAATGTAGTCTTAGAAAAAGGCACATTGCTGCTCCCTCCTCTTTAAAATACTCCCTCTTACTTTGAAAATAATTATTGCATTGTTATTGACAATTTCTGAAGCAGCTCTGGAAGTCCACTTTCCTCAGTGTCTTTAGTTGTGCTGCTGGGCCAGCCTTGAGGTCTTGAATTGATTGAAAACATTTACTGTTCATGATCCTTTTGATGTTGAGAAGAGCCAGAAATTGCACAGTTCCAGACCTGGTGAATAAAGTAGAGCGGCACACCCTCATGCTTTCACCAGCCTGCCTTCCACTGGATGGGACTCAAGCAGTGGCATTCACTGTTTTGATCAGACCTTGCTAAGACAGTCATGGAAGACTTCCAGAACTGCTTCAGAAAGTGGCAAGAATGATGGGATAAGTGTGTTCCAAGCGAGGAGCATTTGGGGTGGGTGGGTAATGGCAACATGTCTTTGACTGTGACACTTCTTTACACTTAAACATCTGCTATGCAGTTTGATCACACCACATCATAAAAAGAAAGCCAGCCAAAGTCAGCGTGGTGTTTCTGTCCTCTCCCTGTTCCTCTGGTACAGTGATGGAAACAAACAGTTAAGGGTGAGATTCTTGATGAGGTGAGGGACGAGAGGAAGAATGAATATGCTTCTTTCCTCTGGACTGGGCAGATGTCGGGCGCCCTCCCGTCCAGCAGGAAAGCACTCAACACGATTTGTGCAGCGGAAAGCTTTAATCGTTCTCCTGAGTGGCGCGCCCCAAGAGAGCGCAGTTCCTCTCTCCGTCTTTCCTCTCTGTGTTCGTCCTTTCGCGCGGGGCGTCTTTTTTATATTATCACACTACCCAATCAAGGGTTGATACGTGTTACAATGTCATTGGTTACGTTCTCAGGGAGGGCATCTTACATCATCATAGATGGGGTGTACAGCAAACGCGGAAGCAGGAAATGAGCGCCATCTTAGCATGCTCGATGGGAGGGGTAATCTAGCGCAGGCTCCGAGGGTTGCAGCAGGCCTCACCCAGTGGTCTCTAGGGATTTGGTTCTGATGCCGCAATTCGCAGTATAGGCTCTCTACAGGCAGAGACTTATCAAAGAGAAGGCCAATCTCCTAGGGCCCCACAGAGACGCCCTGCTATAATTTGGGCTCCCGTATTGGCCCTGAGCACAGGACATGTGGCCCAACTGGAATCTGGGACTCTGCTGTTACACAAGCTGCATAGTGCTGCCTGCAGGGCCTGTGTTCCCCTTTGGCTGGAGACCCTCAACCCCAACATGCTGTGAGTTGCCTCATTGCCTTGGGCCTGATGTGACCTGGCAGCTGTGTGAGCTTCACTCACTACTTTTGAGATCAGTTGAGCCATGGACTAAGTGGGAGACAACATTCAGCCCTGGCTTGGTAGCCCCTGAAAGTAGTGAGGAAGACAGAGGAGGATAAGTGAGATAAATTGGGAGGAAACGGGAGTGGGGCACGCAGGACACACAGCCTAGCATGTTAACCAGCTCTAAATGTAAAGACAGTATGGGGGGAGCATTGTTCCCTCTGCAAAGAAAGCTCCAGAGTCTGAACTTAGGCATCTGGCAAGGTAAGAGAAAGTATCGCACCACGTAGCTCTTTTGTTGGCCAAGCACTTACTGCTTACTGCTCTGAGTATCTTGCAGAATACTAACTCATTCATCACTCAGCCAGGTAGGCACCAGGCCTGTCTGCACTGTACAGACAAGGCAGAGAGACACAGTGTAACCAGGCCAAGTCATGCCCCTGGTAAGGCATGACGTCAAATCACTGCCTTGGTTGGCCTGAGCGACTTCCTATCTGCACCCTGACACTCTGAGGGTCTGCACCTCAGCAGAGTCAGACGAGAGCCCCTGTGCTTCCCCATAGCATGCTCTCCTACCGCTCTGTGGACATCCGGAAGAGCCTGCAACTGGAGGAGCTCCTGGCACGTGAGCAGCTGGAGTACACCATAGAGGAGGAGGTGGCCAAGCAGACCATCCGCATGTGGCTCAAGAAGTGCCTGAAACGCATCAGGGCGGTGAGTGAGCTGCGAGCCTGCGGTGTGCCTCCCCACCCCACTCCAACAGCACGGGAAGAAAAGAAGAGAGCCCCACCCCAGCTGACACAGAGCCACCTGCCACTACCTGGTCCCCTTACACTGTGGCCTCTGCATCCACTCAGAGGGGCCAGATGCCGGCGCAAGCTCTTGCTGCAGTTCGCACTCAGCCTCATTCCCTTCTGCAGAGTCTATGCCAGGCTCTGGGGAGCTGCGCTGTTATTATCTCACATGAAGGTTTAAACAGCGACTTCACGATATTAAAATATGCACCATCACCATTTACTAAGTGCTGTCAAATTCCAAAGAAATATCTACCAAACTGAATTTACAAAACTACTTTTAAATCGCTGCCAAAAATTCCAGCAAATCATTGAGAATGTTGCTTGGCCTCTAAAGATCATCCCTCATGTGATTTGAATGATCTAACTGCTGCATCCTGAACTATAACCTTATAAGAGCCTCTAACTCATAAACTAACGAACATGTATTATGTGGGCATATGGGTGCTTACAGTATCTCTTTTAAGGAACTACTTTTACAAATGTTTTTGCTTATGCTTCACACTTAGAAAATATCACACTAATCACTGCATACTTAATGTATTGTAATGTTTCTGTGAATTTTGTCTTGTCCTGTTCTTCAGAAAAATAACTTTATACTACAGAAATATACATTTCTGTTGGAAGAAGGAAGGTTCTTGAAGAAAAGAAATACCCTAGTCTCCTGTAGGGAGACAAGCTGCCCACTGTGTCCTGTTACAGCTGGCTCCTGGGGACCCTGGCACTCCAGGGACCAGTCTGTCCTCCACGGGCCCTAGGAGGGCACGGGATTCCTGGCTTCAGGATGTGCAAGACAAACTAGCCCCTGCACTGGCCTGTTGGGCTGGCCTAGGAAGTCCAGAACCAAGCAGGCATCAAAGTTTCCTCTACCTCCCAAGGTGCTCTGCCTCCTGCTCTTCACAGGAAAAGGAGAGCAGAGCAGGGAGGCCAAGCCTGGGTTAACAAAGAATAAAATTAGAAGACAGTAGAACACCCAAGTTAGTAATTTTAAATAAAGCATAAGGCAATAGCAATGAGCATAGCTAATGCAACTGTTGTCCACATGAAAAGGAAGAAAAAGGCAGTTCCTACTGGAACTAGTTCAGGGTCCTCATTTGGAAGTTCCTAAGGTGCCACCAATCCTTCAGGTGTTTGGAGAGAAGAGAGTGTGACCTGAGTGGGGGAGGGGCGGAGGTTCCTGGGCTCATGCCTCCCTTCCTGAGGGGCAGCGTCTTCCCACAGAAACAGCAGCAGTCATGCAGCATCATCCACAGCCTGCGAGAGAGCCAACAGCAGGAGCTGAGTCGCTTCCTGAACCCTCCCAGCATCGAGACCACCCAGCCCAGCGAGGACACGAATGCTAACAGCCAGGACCACAATGCGCAACCTGAGGTAGGGGAGGAGGAGTCCTTTATTCTAGGATGTTCTTTTTTTTTTTTTTACTTTGTACATATTATTTCTAGAAAGTTACTTTAAGAGACAATCAGATGTATGCCCATATTTTTCACATAATTTTATTGAGAAACAAATAGCAATGAGACAGTTTCAAACCAAATTGGTAGGACAATTTCAATAATTAACACATTGCATACATTCTTCCTAGTGGTTAATTGCTGTACAAGATGTGGACATGATATCCTATTTACAAACACTATTACAACAAATCCCTCTATTCATTAAGAGAATGTAACTATATATCTATCCTAACCACTTTGAATACACAGATACAAAATGGACATTCATCTGTATCCCCTTTTTTGTTTAGTTCCATCATTTGAATATTATAGGTGTGTAAACTCGGCAAAATATTCTAAAAGAGTCCAGTAGTCCATAATAGTATTGGGTCTTCGGCTTCACTGGCAATGTCAGAAACTGTTGACCTGAGTCTCCTATAGCTCAACATAACATCATGGCTTTACTTCTTATACTTTGTTTTTATACTTTTCTGCTGGATGATTAAGACCAAGATAAAGCAAGACCTATGCAACAAGAGTTGTAGCTTTTGGGTCTGATAAGGTCAGTGAAATCCCCTCAGGACTTTTCCTGAGATCCTGTACCTCAGATTGTAGATCCTTTGTCAGCATCAGCCATGTGAATGAGTCACGACCATTGCTTGGCCAATGTGTTCTCTGTGAAAGCCTGAGAGAATGTTTTCTCTCCATGTAACTCTCCTTAGGCACACTCTACATCATCAGTCACTTTCCTCTGTGGCCCCATAATCTCCTTGATCAGAAAATTTGGGGCCTCAAAGAAAGCCAACATTTTGGCCCTACCTTTCCAAGGTCAATTAAGACTCAGGACATATGAGAACTTGTACTGTAACGTCATGTATTCTAGGATGTTCTGTGAAGCTCCTTCCTCAATTTAGAACAGCAGGAGGGCTGGTCACAAAAGCATTTCAACCAAGGTGGCAATATTTCTGCAAATATTTTTTTCACTGAAACCAACAAAAATGGTCAGAGCACATGGTTTCTGTAAATATTTGTGTCTTCGCCATTCAGGGTTCAGTGGAGCTTGGTTCAAAAGATTCTGGTTTGTGTGGTGGCAGTCAGCTTCCCAACACTGAGACAAAATGCCTGAGATAATCAACTTAGAAGGAAGAAAGGTTTATTTTGCCTCAGAGTTTTGACAACTTCAGTGCATGGGGGGTTGACCTATTGTTTTGTATCTGTGGAGAGGCAGCTGGAGTGGTGTCAGAGGAAGCTGCTGACCTTGGGGCAGCCAGGAAAAAGAACAAGAGACCAGAGGGTCTAGCACCCCACATCCTACCCAAGGGCATCCCCCAGTGGCCTACCTGTCTCAAACAAGTGCCCACCTCCTCGAGGTTCTACCAATTACCATATAAAGGCTTTGGCATACATTCAAGAGCCAAGCTATAATATATGCAACCTGAAAAACATCGGTGCCCTGAACTATATAATGCTTCTGGGATTTATTGTCATCTGATATGTGTTGGTATTTTGTTTTCTTATTTGTTTGGGGTTCTACTTTTGTTCTGTTTTGTTGTTTCTGTGAGAGAGAGAAGATTCTTTGGTTCTTTGCCTAAACAGTTAATTTCATATCCAAGAACTCAATTTGAATCTGGAAATGCTGCAAGTTTTCAGGGAAAACAGGCTATGATGTAGAAGTTTCCCCTCGGCAACTCACGGAAACTTGCTAACTTTCTGGTACCAAAACTGTTTGCCCTTGGTTTTCAACTTTTCTCAGTAACAGACCCGTCGAGGATTCTTCCTTCCTTAGTTGAACATCAGAGGAGCATATGGAATTTCGGAGCTTTCAGTTACCAAAACATAGCATCTCTTCATTTCCAAACTCAATCTACAGAACTGTAGAAAAAAGCAGAGTTCCATTAGCACCCCGCGCAGCGGCTGCTAGGGAGGTCCTGCCCCTGGAGGGGGCTGCAGGTAGGATCTGAGCTCTACCGTGTAGAGCCGTGCAGCATTATATGCACAGCCCTCAGTGACTCAGAGCTGATGCATAACAGCACCAGTGAGGCTAAGGACTGACTCCAGAGCCTGAGGCTCCACGGCCCAGCAGAAGTACTAGCCCAGTTTGGGGTGGATTTCATGTTGTTGGCTCCCAGCCCATAGGAATCTTCTGGCTCTGAGTACAGGGAATCCTACAGGGAGAGTTAGCAAAGGGGACAAGGAGGTACGGATAGTGGCCCTGCCCTGGGTTTCTCCTAAGGATGCTTGGCTGTGCCTCATTGAGACCCAGGGCAAGGTCCAAACACACAGTGAGACGGAGACTGGTGCTGATTGCAGTGCTCTCTGGTTTAGACTTTAAAAAACAAAAAAGCTGGAGAGTGGTCTGGCAAGCCAAGATGAAACTGTGAGGCAATGAAAGCCAAGGTGCTGGTTATGAAAGAAGGAGCCAGTGGGTGAAGCAGGGCTCGGGTGAAGCTCAGGTCTTCAGTGCCAGGCTTCCTCGGGGGCTGTCACAGACCTCAGCCTACAGAGATGCTTTTCTGGAGCTCCAGGTTCTGACCTCTAGTCTTGCGAAAATGCACTGCCCTAGATCCAGCCAGTCCCCACTGCCATTCCTTCCTGCAGTGGCACCACGCCAGACCAGCAGAAGCAGTGAGAAGGAGGACAGTATTGAGGAACAGCCGTAACATCTCTTGTGAGATCATTTTCTTTTAGCTTCCACAAGAGAATGAGAACATGCAGTGTCTATCTTTTTTCATTTAATGTGATGTCCTCCAGTTCACTCCATGCTATAAATCCTGATATTTTATACCACAGTAGGGTAACTAGTGTCAGCAGCAATCTCTGTTATGTTTGGAAATGAGTAGAAGAGTCCAAAGGTTCCCAACACAGAGAAATTATAAATGTTTGAGAACACAGAAATGTTGATTCCCCTCATTCATCAATACACATTGTACACATGTATTAAGTTACTGTACCATACCTCATAAATACCTATAAGGATTATATGTTATTTAAAATATTTTCTGAAAAAATGGAAGAGACATAACTGCTTCTTTTTTCTCCCGCACAGACGAGCAGCCAGCAGCAGCTCCTGAGCCCTACTCTGTCGGATAGAGGGGGAAGTCGACAGGATGCCGGTGATGCTGGGAAACCCCAAAGGAAGTTTGGGCAATGGCGTCTGCCCTCGGGTTGGTATATCACTCATTTCTCCCTTGATTAGGGTCTTTGAAAGATCTTTACAGTCTTTGCATTGGGTCTTGGATTTCAGAATTCAGGTCTGAACCAGCTTTCTGTTGCTACAACCCATACCTGAGACATTCAGCTTGAAAAGAGGGAAAGTGCATGTCAGTCCATATCTGGTGATCCCATTCATTGCTCTGGGCCTGTGGCCAGGCAGCCTGTTGCAGTGGAGGAAGCTGCCACTGCCAGGAAGCAAAAAGAAAGAAGAGACCCGTGTCTCATAGTCTCCTTGCAGGGCACACCCACACTGACCTCTAACTACACCCTCTTGTTATTGGCTGCACCTCCTCTCTTGATCGCAAGCCTTTAACACAAGGGTCTTGGGGACATTTCAGATCCAAATTGTAGCAGGGTCTCTGTTTGATTATTTACAGAGAGTGAGCCAGTCACAAACACATCCATTGCCCAACCTATTCTTCCAAATGACTTCTCTACACGGAACTATACTTGCTCTCATCTTCAGCTCCCAAGGCTGAGAAGGTAGCATCTAGGAACAAAGTGAATGGTCAGAGCCAAGCTTCAAAGAGAAAGGAGGAGATGTCCAAGGGTGTCTCTGTGCAGTCAAAGCATTGCCATACAGGCCAAATTTTTATTAGTTCTGTGAAGGAATGAGCAGACACCAAGATTCAGGAAACACCAGAGGCCTCTGCTTTTGCAGTATGCATTTGTATACACTGAGATAGGTAGCTGAGCAGGTTACCACCTTCATGCAGTCTCCTACTGACCTGATAATAATAGCAACAACGAACACTACTAATCACTCTTGTGAGCGCGTTGCTTATGTTTCTTCATTTAGTTCTCATAATTCTATTATTTTCCATGTTTTACTGGGTAATCAAACAAGCAAGTAGGGTTTTTGTTCTGAAGAAATACAGGATTTTTAAAAGCCCAGATAATTGCATCAGAGGCATGGAAGGAAGGAGAGCAGTGCTTTGCATACCCCAGTGCCCCCTGAAAGTGGTACTCTCTACAGAGGACCAAGTCTGGGGTGCAGCACGGCTCGTCATGCTGTTTAACTGCACTCCACCTTCAGTCCTATCCATGTGAGATGATGGATGAGGTTATAAAATCTTCTATACCACGTGTGTTTCAGAGAGAAATAAGAGTACAACTTGCATTTGGTAGCTGAAGATGGTTAGCGGATCCTCATAAATGTCACTACCGAGGAAATTGGCTTTTTTCATATCTGAGTGTTCACTAATCAGGGATCACAGACAACCTACGTGTTACCTGGTTCAAGTAAAGCCAAGACTGATGGGAAACAAGACCGAGGAGATGGTGGGGCCACGATACAAAGAGCCTTTAATGATAGGACAAGAAGTGTCGGCTTCACCCTGTAGGCAATTAAGAACCAGTAAAGTTTACTGAGCAAGATGTGACATTTGTTTTTTTTTTTGTTTTTTTTTTTAAACGGAACCAGGAGTTGAACTCAGGCCCCTATGCTTGCCAAGCAAGCGCTTATTCTACTGAGCCACCTCCCTGGCCCCCTAGATGTGACATTTGGAATGCCTGCTCTTGAGGGTTCTGATTGTGCAGCTAGTAGGTTATGCAACTAGTAATACCTGTCTGGAGGCATGTTACAAGTCATAGGATATTACCATAGCCATTGGCCAAGCTGGAGGTCCTAGTACCACAAGAACAGATAGGAGACATGATCTGGAAGAGGATGTTCCATGGTTCGTGTTTACTTAAATGGAGTTTTACAAAGTATATGGTCAAAAATGCCCCCAGTGACCCATGCGTAGGTAAGCCCAGAATCAAAAAGGGCAATAACCAACTACTGGAGACATGTGGAGTTTGAAAGGGCAAAGAGAAGGTAAAAAAGGGGACACCAATAGTGTACAGTGTCATGTTGTCCCATTTAATGTATTTTAATCTTTACAATAGTATTGTCAGGGCATTTTCATTCTCGTCACTTTACAATGAAAGAAACTTGAGTTCAGAGATGTGAAGTTACCTGTGGCAGTGGAACTATATGTTACCCAACTGGGACCCAAGGTCATGACTGTGGGAATCTTGAGCCTTCAGTACTTTACCCCCTCTACCCTTACCGTTAGCCACACTGTTCCTCCTTTGTCTTCATTCTTTATATGCACATGCTAATTAACACCAACTAATGCCATTCATATTTATCCAAATTGGAACTTCTAGTAATTTTCCAGTTTTCATAATTATCACAGTAAGAGGAGCAAGGAGCATATTTTTCAAAGTGTTATTATTAGTTGTCTATAATTATCCACAATTTTCAAATATATCCTAAACAATCAAATGCTGGGAAAGTTTCTGACTTAACATCCAGGGAAAGGGGTTTGGGAACCTAAAGTATCACTGATGGAATAGCGTGGTTTCCTGGTATGACTGCAAAAGGTGATGTGACACCAGCTTGCTCTTCTTAATTCCACAGCCCCCAAACCAATAAGCCATTCTGTGTCTTCGGTCAACTTGCGCTTTGGAGGGAGGACTACAGTGAAGTCTGTAGTGTGTAAGATGAATCCCATGACAGACACAGCTTCCTGCGGCTCTGAGGTCAAGAAGTGGTGGACGAGGCAGCTGACTGTTGAGAGTGATGAAAGTGGAGATGACCTCCTAGATATCTGATGGAAGAAATCTAGTCATGAAAGCTGTTTTCTAATATTTTCCCTTTATTGTCCAGTGAGTGATCTATAATTGATATATGTTTTAATTCCAATGTGGCACAGTATTTATTTTTAAATTGGTGTTTGTTCCATCAGAGCAAGGCACCCAAATTGGTCTGTCCAACCTGTGTGTCTGATGTCATATTATCATGTATTCAAGAAAATTTGGGTCTGGGGGTATACCTTGATGGTAGACCTCTTACTCCGCATGTGCAAATCCCTGGATTCAATCTCTATACCAAAAAACACAAAAGAGAAAAATGTATAACAGCAGTATTGATAATAAAAACTATACCAACAACAGGCATAGATCATTCAAAAATTTCCTATGTTCTATGGAAACTAAGGTGTACACTTATATGTCCTCTTACACATTATGCCACAGAACTCATAGCTTTGGTTCACTTTTTCTTATTTCCTCTAGATATATTTCTCTTGAGAGAATTTATTATTTATGATTGATCTGAAAAGGTCAGCACTGAGCTCATGCTAAAATGAGAGTAGTTTCACTAACTACGGATTCTGAACTTCAAGACTATATATTCTTTTTCTTGCTATTTTTAAAACTATACATAAGATGATTAGAGATGAGGACAAATGGATTTCTGTCTTTATTCATTCTAATATAGTTGCTGTCTGCTTCCAAGAACATTATATGTGGAGGTCCCAAACGAAGAGATTAGTGCAGGATATTAATTGTTATGAAGCAAATCTATAGATAGAAAACTTGAAGATATCATGGTACACAAATGCTAAGCTTTAAGGATGGAGAGACAGTTCAGCAGCCTAAGCACCTGCCTGGAAAGCACAAGGACCCAGGTTCAATCCCTGGTACCACATGCCATGCCAACCTGGCCACATGAACTGGGCATGGTGGTACATACCTGTAATCGCAGTGCTGGGGAGGCTGAGGTGGGAGGATCGCTGTGAGCCTGAGCTGCCTAGTGAGGCCCTGTACCAAATAAATAAATAAATAAAACATTAAAAAAATGTTTTAAAGAAAGAAATGCTAACTTTCTTTAAAAGACTTTTAATCACCAAAGCTAGCAAAAAGGAGTAAAACAATATGGCTCAAGCTATTTTAAAAATCCTTACTTGTGTTATGTTATCTTTGGCCTCGTTTCTTGCCTTGGTTCCCAAGGTACGAACATGTCTACATCAGCAGAGGTACATGGATTGCTCCCAGCACACTGTTGCTTACACTCAAGATGAGTGCCCAGCGATCAGAAGCCTATGGAGATCTCAGGGCCTGTACAGTCTTACTCTGGAGATTTGGTAGATGGCAGTTAATTATATTTTCTAGCATGTCATTGGTTCATGTTCTCAGAGAAAATTAGAAATGCAAATTGAATGCAAAGCACCACTGGACACTTGGCTGGATCAACAAAATAGAAGTGGTTGGGGCCTTTAACTATTTTATGACTGACTAGAGACTTGCTGTTTAGATTAGTTCTTCTCAGATTGATTGTCTTTGACTCCCAGGTTGTTTTATGATCTTTGTCTTTACTTAACATTATTTAAAGAGCCGAATACCATATTCCTTTGTATCACAAATGTAACATTGTGGTGACCGTTGCTTATTTATAAGGTTAAGCAAGAGAATGAATGACTCAAGCCTGTGCAGTCAAAATTTTACTTGGTTTTAAGTTTATTTGGAATTTACTTTTTGTACATAAAAAACTAAAATAAATATTGGATTTGTAAAATACACTGAATTGGTGATTATTTTTAAATCTTTTCTTGGCCTGTGCTGGGGACAGTACTAGGGAGTTCACCCATGGTGAACCTCAGAGTAGATATTCAGCTCATATTGTTTGACGAAAACTCTGTCTCTGGCATGCATTTCAGCTCAAATCCCTGAGCCAAAAGGTTCTTCTTTCCTTTGTGTGGCTAAAGCTGAGGGACTATTCTGCACCTTCCAAAGGTGCAGCGAAGCAGAGAAGGTGCCTGTACACCCAGGCACGGGGCTGTCCTAATGCCACACAGACAAGGTCTCCTCTCTTAGCTCATCACACTTGACTGATGCAGCTTTGCTGCCACAAGGCTGCCAGGCCCTTCCCGTTGGCAATTAAGATGACATGGTTGCTCATTCTTCTTTTCTTTCTTCTTTCTTTCTTTCTTTCTTTCTTTCTTTCTTCTTTCTTTCTTTCTTTCTTTCTTTCTTTCTTTCTTTTTTTCTTTTTCTTTTTTGGTACTGAGGACCTTGCGCTTGCCAGGCAGGCATCAAACCACTGAAGCCATTTAAGCCTGGCTCCATGGTTGTTCATTCTGCAAAAAAAGCAACCACAGACCTGAAATGAATTTAGAGCTGCTCCCCCCAACATGTTCAAAAATTAAGTGAAGCAAACAATTCCTGAAGAAAGTATCTCTATGACTTTCCTGCAGCAGGTTGGGCAGACAGACAGCTTGGCAAGACAGGCGCCTGTGCCTTGCAGATGGTACTCCTGCTACTGAGAGTACTAAGTGACCTGGACAGACAGATGGGAAAGCTAAGGACACATACTCCCTGGCACTTAGGGAGGCCAGATACTGGTACTAATTCTGTCATCATGTCACCTACTCTCATTAATCAGGAGAGCCACAGGGCCCAGGGCCACCTCAGGGTTAGCATAGTTGACACAGAGCCCCCAGGAAATTACAGCCACATAGGCATTGAGCATGTGACATCTGAGGGACTCAGAGAAACAGGGAAAGGACAGAGGGCCAGGCCTGTTCTCGCTCGCTGTTCCAGACCCATGCCCACCATCATTGACTGTCTATTGGTACCTTGCCCATTCTGAATAAGATAAGGGAAGATAGGAAAAAAGGCACCATTATAAAGCCTTACATAAAAGTGTTTTCTAAATGAGTTGAAGGATGTGTTTGCCCACTCATTTATTATAAATGGCATACTGTAGATCCATGATTTTCAACCCATTGTTCAGCAGTGACACACTTGGTCAAAGAAACTCTCTTAAGGACATCCAAAACTTTACTGGAGCAAAGCTAGCACCACCCTGGTAGAAGTAGGGGTGAAGCTAAAAACCCCATCCACTTGGGCTCCTTTGATCCGTTATTACTAATTGTACTATGTTACCCCAGAACATATGTTGAAGGGCTAATCCCTGGCATGGTCAATATGACTTTTTTTGGAAATAGGGCATTTGCAGAGGTCATGAGTCAGGATGGGGCCCTACAAGAGTGAGCTGAGCCATTAATGCAGTAACACTGAGAAGAGGAGAGAGACACACGGAAGGGTAATATCCTGAGAAAACACACTCTAAGGGAGGACAGTCCATGAAGAGAGAGGCAGAGACTGGAGTAGGATAGCCTCAAACCAAAAAATGCCTGGGTTGCCAGCAACTCTAAGGAACATGGAATGATCTACACTGTTGGCTTCAGAGGAAGCACTGGCCAGCACAGCCATGTGGGAAGGATTCCTGTCATTTCAAAATGCCCAGTTTATGATAGTTTGCTGCAGCAGCCCTAGAAGACTAATACGCTCCAGCCCGAACTCTCTCCAGCCCCCAGCAATAGCCCAAGCCAGCCTACTGCTTCAAGGAACCCAGTTTGGCAAACATCAGTGCACAGCAAAGATCAAGAGTATCAGGGTGTGGCCAATTTTCCAAATCCTGAATTTACTGGTTACTCCCTATAATTTCTGATGACTTTCACACCTCTTGGAGGCCCAGTTTTGTATATTGCATTTTAAAAAGGCAGAAGAGGAAATTTATTCACTTTGTTTCCTTGTGGTTCACAAAAATCAGCAGGATGGGCTTAGTCTCAGCTGGTTTGCAACATAACCAGGTCATTAACCCACTGTCTGCCCTCTTCCTCCTTCTCCATACCCTCACTTGGCCAACTGTCAGATTTTTTGTTTCCTCAGCTAAGATTACAGTCAGGAAAACCCATCTCTGACAAAACTAAACAAAAAAAGGGATATAAATGAAGGACCATTTTGTATCTGTGTATACAAAATAGGATAGATATACAACTACTTTCTCTTAATTCAATGAGAAGAAAGATTTGTACTAATAGTGTTTGGATGGGATATCTTGTCTGCATCTTGTACTATGAATAACTACTATGAAGACAACACTATGCAATGTATTAATTATTGTAACTGTCTAGTAACCTGTTTTGAAACTATCTCATTACTGTTTCTCAATAAAATTAATAAAAAAGCAAAAAAAAAAAGGATTAGTCAGCTTTGGAATCTTCTTCAGACCAATACAAAAACAGTTTGTTGACTGGAGGATCACCTTCCATAGACAGCACTTTTAGAGAACGTCTTTTCAATACCACTCTAAAAATCCACCCCAAATATTATTTGTGAGTTTTCTCTCCTCTTACATTTTCCTCTTCCTCATTCAGCATCTCCACAGGGTGATATCTGGGTGATGAGGTAGACATCTTTTAAGTAGAAAGTGTACTGAAACCCTACTCTTCATTTTGCTGTGAGTCTTTTGGATTCCTCATAGTAAATCCAACTGAGAAAAGGGAAGACAAACCAAGTGGCTGACTCCCCCCTGGGACGGGAGAAACAAAGATAAGAAGACAAATGTTGCCCCAGGTTGCTGTGGGAAGAAGCTGTGGAACAGAGGCCCTCAGCTCCTTCCCCTCTGATTGTCACTGTCAAATAGACTCACGTGCCTTTGGGTGAGTTTCTGTGTCTTCCACACCACCGAAACTGCTGAAGCATTTGTTGTTTAGTTTCAGTTTAGTCTTTATAAGACATGGTCAAGCTGTACCATGAATGTTTGAATTTTTAAAAACTGATTACAGTTTCTCTATCTCAAGAACCTGAGGGCTGGGGAGGTAGCTCAGCTCTCTAAGCACCTGTCTGGCAAACACGAAGACCCAGGTTTGATCCTCAGTACAACACGCTGTGAGGCCATGCCGGCCACCAAAACCAGGCGCGATGGCCCACACCTGTAATCCCAGTGCTGGCGAGGCTGAGACAGGAGGATCACTATGAGTCTG